TCTTTTCTGTGAGCTAAATACCAAGTTTGTCTTTGGTAATTGAGAATAAACTTTGAACCTTTTATAGGTCACATAAATAAAGCAATACCCATTTCCTTAAGGTCTTGCCAACATTTTGCAGTGCTGCATTTTTTCTGGACTTGTGTCATGCATCATAGTCAGTCGTATTAATCACGGTGGCTCAAAGAGACTGGATGCAGTAAGTTCGTAATAACGCGCTGTCGGCCTGTAGAAAACTGGGAGTATGAGTATAGTTTCCAGCCCCCAGGGTGGACACCCATTTCCAGATTGTGGAAGCCATTTGTGTCCTTCAATTTGCAAACCTCCTTGTGAAAGAAGTGTCACAGATTTTGCCGTTGTACTTGTACAGTTCAATTTTAAACATTAAGTCAAGCTCTAACAAGAGTAAGATTGTCTTGTTATCTCAGGCTCTGTTTGAGCAAATTACGTTTCCTAGGCCAAAGTCCTTATTTATGGTCTATTTTTGCAGAGCTTTATACCATCAAGTAGTCTAACTGAAGTTTTCTCGACTGATTTCCAAAACATCAGTGGAGGTGTGCCCTTTCCAGAAGCGCACCTAGCTTAGCAAAAATGTGAAACACAGCTAATGAATCATATTCCAACGACGGCTGAGGTGGAGTTTTGATCTATGAGCCACCGTTACACCTCTTCAAAGAGCCACAGTTGTCAGATCTTGACTCCTCATGCAATGTGAGAGGTGGGAATAAAGCAGTTAAGTTATGGGCAATTTCTCAGGGTAAAAACAGGCAAATACGGAGTAATTCTATTTAGGAAAGGATCTAGGGAGCTTTTCAGGGAGCTACTTTGCTTCGTGACCCTTTCTCGTAAAAAGCAAATTGTCTTCAAACATGTCTGACTGGGAACATAGATCTCCAAGAGACGTGCCAGGGATTTCAGTGAAATGCTTTTCACAGTTGCCACCCACTAATGTAAAACAAGCCGTTTTCTATGCGAGATCCGTAGCTGAATGCTGTATGGAGAGGTAGTGGGTAGTGGCAAAGGGAAGGCTATTTCAGTGCTGGATAGTCATAGTATGTACTTGGTGGAGTAGTAACGTGTGGTACTGAGGTGCGCCTTCCGTGGGCACTTTTAGGTGGTATCTGAGAAGGCTCCCCTGTGTGGAGCTGCTCCTTTCTGTGTTGATCTGCAATACAGTCGAGCTATGGTGTCTGTAAGATCTGTGCTTTTGTTTCCTGGTTTTTAGATGTTCAAAAGTATCTTTAGTATTAAAAATTGACCTGAAGAGTAAATAAGACGTCACATAGGAAGTGAGGTATGTGGACAATTATTTTAATCTTGCTGTTTTTATTCTGCTTCCATAATTGCATAGTCAAACGTTTATGCAACTGTTGAACTCTGTGATAAAATACAAACACAAGGCCACACCCAGGTACCTGCCATAGATGGCCTGCAATCTCCAGCGTGCTGTGGTCTTGTAAACACCATAGCCCTTCCAAGTGAAGAGGTTTTAAACAACCTTGATATTTGAAAAACAACTTTAAATTGATTCAAACATCAGTTCTCAGGAACAGGAGAAATGTGGGTTTGAGCAGTGTATGATTGTCCTTATGCAGAAGTGAGAACACTGGTTCATTTTCCATTTTTGAAGCTCAAGAATTGATGCAAGGATTTTTAATCAAATTAAAACAGCTTGCCAATAAGTATCATTACTCAGTAAATAAAAGGCGTGTGTTGCAGTGGAAACTTAGCAGTAATTCTTACAAGAGCTAGAACCTATTTGGTTCTTTGGTTTTTGTTTGTTTGGGGTTTTTTTAAATTAAATTTAACTTTAAGGTGTTGTAGCACTTCTCTGTACTGTATGAGCTTCAGAAAGTAAAACTGGCCAGTTCCTTATCAGTGTCTTGGAGCCTGTTTAACTTCATCACACTTCTCTTAGAGAACGTGTTTGTAAAAAAGTAAACACCAATTGCAAACAGTAGAGAAACACGGTTTAGTTGTTTCAGTAGATTTTTGTTTCTCTTTGTGCATTTAATAGCATTTGGGGCTTGATGCAGAAGTTACTGAAGTCCGTATGAGCTCTTACCCTTATTCCCGTATTCTTGATCGCACTCTTACAAGTGTTTGCCTTCACTGCATTTTCGAAGTCCCAAAACTTGAAAGATGCATGGGCAAAACACTTGCAGGGGTTTTAAAATACTTAGTGCATTTTAAGCTGATGCCAGTTATTTTCTTTTTAATTTCAGGCATTTAATGTCTGCTTTGAACAGCACAAATGATTATGCAGTGTTGAAAATAAAAAATTTAACTCTTTACTGATGATAGGAGAGGTAGTAGGTACTTTTATGGCTACCTGAGCCTTATACGTGAAGATCAGACACCGCCTCTGAAACAGTGTTTTCTCCATTTCATTGCTGCGTATAACACTTTCTCTGAACGCTTCCAAACTACAAACATTACGTCCCAAGGGAGTGCTGTGAAATAAGAAGACATTTCTATTTTACAAATGGAGAGACCAATGCAGCAAGGTCACGTGCAAGGTTGATAACAGTGTGGGGAATGAAAAAGTGATTGAAATTCCTACTGCAGTCTTCTAGCCTTCAGTTACGCTCCTCCTGTTCTCCTTTAATTATGTTACTTGACAAAATTAAGGGGTGGAGGACAAGAGAAGGGATTAATCTATTTACTGTCTGCCTAGACTCATAAGTATTATTTGGAAATAAATATGTGGACTATATCCTTTTAACTCATAAAGAAATTTTTGTCCCTTTGGAGTTGCTCAAGCTGATGTTAAATGCAGTATTAACTTCTAATCTGTGCTGTTTGAAAGTATTTAGTAGCTCATTCACTTTAACACTACATTTATACGGTAGTTGTGTCTGCCTCTGTGGCTCTGAGGCAGTTAGATCTTTATTATAGGTTATGGCAGTTGCCAGGAAAAAAAAAAAGGCAAAACAAAACAAAACTCTCCTCCCCAACCCTTAACCTGTGAATGCTGAATCTCTTAACACTCCTGATGCCCTGAACACCAAAAGCTGTAATATTACATTGTGTTTGTGGGGGTAGTAGTATGAAAAAAAACCAAACCCCTATGTGTAGATAAGTCTAACATGGAGCTGATTAATTTGGAGTGGGGTATGAAATCTGAAACACTTCTAGTATAAGGAAAGTAATTTCTCCTATAAATTGGAACCTGTCTTAAGAGCATAGTTCAGGCAAGTCCTCTGCTAAGGTGGACTTGATTCTCCGTGGCTTTTGCAGCTGTGCCTGTGTGTGAGGAGGAGAATTGCCTGGTTTATCCCCAACTATTTATTCCCTTTTTCTGTTGTCAGTTGCTACTGCAGGACCAAAGGTAGAAGGAGAAGCACGGGATAGTCTTGATACACTGCAATAATTTACCACTTTTTCAGAAGGAGAAGCACAGGATAGAGTCTTGATACACTGCAATAATTTACCACTTTTTTGATTTTGAAAGTGAGTTCCTGCAAAGGCTTCTTGTGTCAGTTTAAAGAGGAAGATGTCCCAAGTCATTTTCTGCTAGTTCTGTAGTGTCTTCCAGGCTGTTTAATTCCCTCTCTCATGTGGTGGACATGAAAATGGGGAGCAATTTGCAGATTTGTTTGAAACTTTTCTTCCCTTTCATATAAAGTTTTACAATTTTGTAATGATCTCTGCACTGGATTCTTGCATTTCTTAGTTCAGCATCCAGTTTTTTAACCTGAATCTAATTATAAAATGTAGGTGTTTAATTTTCCAGTAATGTGAAGCCATGGTTTTCTACTTTGTTTTATTAGCTTAATAACATACCTGAATTACAGAGTCATAGTCCTCCCTTTTTCCGTGTCAGGGCAATTGTTCTGTGGGCCAGCAGCCTGGTAATGCTGTCGCCTGAGCCTGGGATAAAAGCTTCTGCAGGGAGGCTGCCCTCCCACTGGGACGTTATGGGGGAGATTTCTGTCCTATGTATAACGTTTTTAATACAGTAACTAGAAAACTGCCTAAACCCCTTTTCCGGCCCTTGTTTTAGAGAGAAGGCACTTGTGATGCATGCTTATTCACACTTAAATGCATACTGGTTAATTAGCTTATTTTGTTCCCAGTGTTTGATGCGTTACATCTGGTGTGGAATGGGATTTATCCCTTTTGCGTGCTGTGGAGTAGTGGTTTGCCAGGACTTTACAGTTCTGTACGTGTAGAGAGTGAGCTGCTCAAAACGCTGTTGTGTTCCAGGAAGCAGTTGCTACGCTAGGGCTTATTCATAATTTTAAATATAAAAATGCCTAAGTACTTGTTTTGGTGGTACTAGGATCACTAGCTGATCAAAAATGGTTTGATGTGTGATCAACTGGTGCAAAAAGATACCTTGTTCAAGAGTGATACAGCTATCAAGAGAGGTATTCTAATATTTACTGTCAACTTTGAGGTACTGAACAGATAAAGCTGTATCTTCCCAAGTTATTGGCCTAAGTAAGACTGGTTTGGCTTAGATTGATATTTTTCTGGGTTTGCATCAATTTAAGTTGGTAATGTAGAAATTTGTTATTTTTCACTTGAAATAATTGGCCTGTTCAGTGACTTCATCCATGTTTAAAGCTGTTATAAAATAATTCTTCCAAATCACTGTTTTCCTTCAGACAAGTCCTAAGATGCCCTTTCTGTGCTTTGCAGAGTTGTCAGTAGTCTGCTACGAAAGGCACTGATCTGCATTTGAGATACAAAAACCTTTTTAAATGCACTTCTTTAATACTCCTACTTCATTGTGTCTGTAGTGATGTTAATGCATTTTTGTATTTTCCTGACATACCAAAAAATAACGATTTTTTAATACCTTGTCTCAGAGAACTTTACTTCTCACAGGTGCAAAATTTTACTTTCTTATTTGTGTGGGCTGCCACCACTAAAACCTCAAGCTTCTTTAACATTAAAGAAACCCACATTGACATCTAAGCATTTTGAAAAATAAATATGAATCTTGCCTAATACTGTTGTTTACTTACGCTTACACTGTGCTTGCTTTTCAGGAGCTTGAAGAAATCCGCAAATGTGGAATGAAAAACTTCCGTAATATCCAGGTTGATGAAGCTAATTTATTGACCTGGCAAGGGCTTATTGTTCCTGTGAGTATAGACTGCTCCTTATTCTAATGAGCTTTAAAATAAAACGAGGATTATTTGTATCCCGTAAATCCACAGTTTAGTAGTGCTGCTGGTGACTGTTAGATAATATTCGCACCCTGACAAGAATCTCTTTTATTACTATAAAACCTGGCTTTCAGAGTTGTGGGTTTGTGCCGAAGCCAGTCATTTATAAATGCAGCTAAGTTTGTGTGGATTGTACTGCAGCATCTTAAATGTACTCTGGGCGGTGAAGTGTGGTCCTGGATTTAATTCTTGTCTCTCTCCAGACATCTTGTGTAACTTGGGCCAATAGTGTAATCTTCCCGTCTCGTTTTATTTGAGTGTTTTCTGTGTTTCATTTTATCAAAGTCTGATAGGTGTTTTGTATAACTAGTGTGAGGAAAAATCCATAGGTAATTGAAAGGTGTTCTAGGCTTCTCTGATCAATACCTAACTGTAGGCCTGGTCCCACACACGGCTGCAGCTGGCGAGGGCTGCAGACTTGGTGATGGCGCTGGGCTGCTTGGGAGAGGTGTTGGGAGGGGAAGTAGATGAAATTTGTAGTTTATTGCACAAAACTAAAAGTGCAAAATCTACGTTATCATAGGAAAAAGCCTGAGGTATGAAATGTTTTGTTTACTCCTTAACAAATTTCTTTTTTTAAATCAAGTAGATTTGTTTGTAGGATAAAATTGAGTACTGGCAAAAGTTTGATGCAAGGAAAAGGTTTGGATTTTCCAAAGTGAGCTCTTTAAAAGAAAATCTCTTTATTTAGGCAATAATTATGCCAAAAAAAATCCCAATCCACTTTAATTTTTTAAAAGCACTACAATCTTTGAAGAGAATGTTTAATAGAAGTAGATAACCACTGAATTAGGCAAATAGACAGGGATTTGTTAATAAGGAGAAAGCAAGAAATCTAGTGTGTTGAATTCCTTGGTTGAAAGTCACTTGGATTTCCACCTCCTTTATTTGCCACTGCCAGAGCTCATCCTCTCTTTGTTACATGAGCTGCTTTTAAGTCTGCAGGAGTAGAGGCTCTGCCACGAGGGCATCAGTTTTGCTTTTCCTTGGGTGCTGCCTAAAAGGTCCCCTGACCGGTGTAAATCTGGTTTTATTATGAGGTTTTGAAACATCTCTCTAGCAGTGCCTCTGCTTTGTTAGTTGGGGACCACTCCCAAATTGAGATCGCACGGGCTGAGATAATGGCAAGGCTTTTGCACTTTAAATACTGTAGAATACATTTAGTTTACTGTTTACTTATATTCCTGCAAGTAATACCTTTGAGTGGCTGAGGCTACTCTCGCAAATAAAGCAAGTTTAATTTGATATTAAAATTTGACAGAGCTGAGACATGATATGCTTTAATAAGCCGCTCCGATACCTGTGGTTCATGTGCAAGTTTACTGCTCTGATAATACTTAGAAGCAGTAGAAAGTTGGTAAACGTGACTAATAAAGCAAAACACCAAAATACTTGTTTACTCCTGTTAAAATTGGCCATATGTGGCCTACAGCATCTGTTTTTAACGGTTTCTGCTGACCGGGGGATGAGCTTAGTGCTTGTTTTGCAAAGGTTCCCAACATCACAAGTGTTTAAACACTGGTGTGGTGAACTGTGCTTCATACCTGCCTTGGGGTTTAAATGCGCCCTGTAACGGGAAGGAGCCGTACGTTCCCTACTGGTGCAGCTAAGGGGGGATTTTGTCAGGGAATTATGCTCCCTGTAATAATGAATAGAGTGATGTGTTGTATGTGTTCAAAGAGTAGTATGGTTTATTATTTGGAGGATATGCCTTGGAAGAGGCTTTAGTCTTAGCATAATTTTTGTAGCTATTGCAATGCTGGAGTTAATGGCTTAAAACTGTAACATACGAGCCGGCTGCAAGTTTAATTTTTTTCTCTGAGTTTTTGCTTTTGAAGTTTTCCGTGCTGTTTCCATTTTAGAAAATGTTCTTGCTTAGGGTATGAAGGCATATTAGTGGTACTTTAGAAGGACTAACCAGTTACTGATGATTAACTCCTTAACTAGGCATTATTTTGGTCAGCTTCTTAATGAAGGTGTGAGAGACAGAGGTTCGTGTTTGTAACAGTGTTCATAAAGAACTACAGTGAAAGGTACTGCTCTGAAAGCTTTTGTTGTATGTAACGTATTTTGCTCTTTGGAACAACTGTTAAGTTTTTAAGAGCGTTTGCTCAATTGAAAAGCAAATGAAGAGAGCTTGTCAACTTTTCCTGTTCTAAATTGTAGAATAAGGCGGTTTATGTACTGTGTGTTGACAAGGTTTGCTATTTGTTTGATTTCAACATCAAAACGAGCCTACCTACCCCAGGCTCCCTGTTCCTGTAAGAGGTGCTGTTGATGTACCGTGAATTTCATTTCACTTTATCAAGGCTGCTTGCTATGGACAAACCTGTGCAGAGTAAAAATTCTGCAGGTGAAAGGGAGTTGTATTTGTCGCTTGTGTTTCAGTATGTGTAATTCTGCTTCTCTCCCATGTCAGTGTCAAAATAAATATAACAAATAATTGGAGATTAATGGCTTGGATATTTTGTGTTTTGCCTATTTAAAACATGAGCAACCCTTTCCATACATTTTTGGTTTAATTTATTGGTGAGTTATAGTGAAGAACTGTTCTGAGTCAAGCAGAAAATGGACGGTTTTAAGCCAGGTCAGTTCCTGTATGATTTCACTGAGCAGCTTCACAAATTACAGCGAGTGGTGGAGGGAGGAACAAGTGAGCCGTGGGGGGAGAGGGCACTAACGGCTGAAGTTGTCACCACCACCAAAAGTTATTTGTTAAACTTCCAAAGCTTTTGGATCTCTTGGATAAAAAGTGATTTTTAAAGCCACTCTACCTCTTCCCTTGACTGCAGAAATTGTGCTGTATTTCTTAGGAACGCACAGCCAGACTTCTCCATATGGATGAAACTAAAATTAAATGTTTTCTGTTGAATAATATTTTAATAGAACACTCCCCACTCCCAAATAGTGGTAAACCTTTTTTAACTTCTGGAGTGGGTTTGACTGCAGGGAATGGTCTGGTTGCTAATGTGTGTGATAATACTCTACACCAACTAGAAGCTTTCCTCCTTCGGTTCTTGTTCCCAGCGTGTTGGAAGCGGCTTCGTGCCATAGTTACTGTTTTCAGTGCAGATTGGTATTTTCATAAGCTCTAAATGTAGCAGTGGTTTATTTTTTCTTCTGCCTTTCTTCTACAGTTAGTATCTGAAGCAGTGTCAATAGTCTCACAGATTTTCTAAATGAGATTCTGGGCATTGTTTTTTCTGTTCCAGCATGAGGAACTACTTTGCTTAGTTCACAGTTCTCTCATCATACTCCTTCAAAAGTGATCTGATAAGAGTGGGTGCTAAAACTGCATACAAATTCAGAATGTTCTCATCAGCAGACGCAGTGAATATCTATCTTTAGTACCAATGAATGCTCAGCAGATTTTTGTGTAGTCAGCACAAAAACGTTCTCGGAACGTATAGGGAAATCTGACAAATGAAATTGCTTTGCCGTTCCTACCACCGTGTTGTGAGACACATAAAATAACCAGGTTTAGAGAAACCAATTTTCCTTGTCAGGCTTCCTGTTTGTATCTTGGAAAGGGTTTTATATGTTTTTTGAAACACAAAGTTGGGAAGAAAACTTATTTATTAGATAGGACCTTGAGCTCGGAGTAAATGGAATTGGATGCTCGCTTACCGGTAGAAATGGTTTATATGTTTTTTGAAATACAAAGTTGGGAAGAAAACTATTTATTAGATAGGACCTTGAGCTCGGAGTGAATGGAATTGGATGCTCGCTTACCGGTAGAAATGTCAGCCAACTTCAGAACAATGGTAATCTGCTTTTCCCAGGGTGAATACAAATGTTGTAGAGGTTGTGTTGCCTCTCTCTTACCAAATAGGTGTTGATGGGTTCTGACACGCAGACATGGCAGCATGGGCTGGAAGAAGGTGCCTTTAAAAGAGGTCATTTGATAGCTCAAAGTCTGGAGCGTGCTTTTTCTTAATTGTAACCATTAGAATACGCCAGATTCTTGACATTCTGCCTTCTCATTGCAGGACAATCCTCCGTATGACAAAGGAGCCTTCAGAATCGAAATCAACTTCCCAGCAGAATATCCATTCAAACCTCCTAAGATTACGTTTAAAACAAAGATCTATCACCCTAACATCGATGAAAAGGGGCAGGTTTGTCTGCCAGTAATTAGTGCTGAAAACTGGAAGCCAGCAACCAAAACTGACCAAGGTAGGACTCCAAGTGGAGAAAGAACTGGGTATCGAGAAACTTCATACTGTGTTTAAATTTAAAGCTAACAGTGTTTCAGCTGGTCACTGCTCTTACGGTATACTCACTGTCGTAAGGCTTGTGTCATGAATCGCGTGCTGTGAGCACAGTATGCAACTCTTTTGGAATCTCATTTTGTTATTGGAACGTAAGGCAGTGACGCTGACGCGTGGCACGTCCACCTCCAGGAAACCACAAAACTCTTTGTGACTGGAGAGTTCGTTATGGTAGTGTCCTCGGCGTACTTACACATCCTGGTGGTGGTTTGTGTGGGGTTTTTTTAAACAGTGACTTTATAATCCAGAGGAGTTCGGCACATTCCTGGATGTTTGAAGGAAAGGGTCTAAAACCTCAAGGCTTTGTATATTTTATAATCTCTGCTATGTGGTTCAGTGATTTGAACATATGGTTTGAAAAATCTGGGGAGTCATAAACAAAACATGAAATCATAACACAAATTAACAATTAACTCTTAAAAGATCACGGCTGTGAGGCTTACTGTGCAGAGCGTCTTTGGGTAAGAATTTAAATGTTTTAAGGAAAAAAGTTTCATCAGGTTCTGTGGCAGACTGAGTGTGATTCAAGTAGGTTTCTTATGTTGTTGCTTTCATTAGTTGCTGGGGTGAGAATTTCATGTTTTCTGGCAGGTAAACATCAGTTTGATGTTAAGCATTTATTATTGTACGTATAAAAAGAGCAAAAATCCTTTAAAAAACACGCAGCTTTTGCATAATAGTAATTCAAGTGAGTAGCAGTTTAATCCAGCGCGAGAGAGACTCAGCGATACTGAAGTATCTTACTGCATAGGAGAAACCTCCCCTCGTCCAGCCTGCTCAGTAAGGTTGTTTTCACTCAAACGGTGTTCCTGGCAGTAAACAATGCTGTACGTAAGATTTCTTTTTGCTGCGTACTTCTGTATGCTAATAAAACCAGTTACTGTTTGCATGATCTTGCCCCAAAGACAAAGTAGGAAAATTCCTCTAGTTGTTTCGGAAAAGATCAAGCAGTTGAATGTTGGGGAGAGTGGAGGTGGCAGCAAAAAGAACCTGTTAAACTCAAATAGGTCAGCAAAGATCTTACCCTTTTGTTGTTGATTTATCCCAGATTATACAGGAGAGGGATGCCTGGGAGAGATGAAATGGAAGCCGTATGTAGAAGGTTTCTGTTAACACTGTAGCAGTTGTCTTTATCTTACTGGCCTTCTCTAGTTAAGTAAAGGAACGACATGTCTCTACCTAGCTTGAAATGCAAGCTGGCGTTGGTTGGGACTATTGGAGCAATCGTTTGCATGCAGGGAATAGTCAGTGTCTCCCTCAGAAGTAGCAATTCCCTTTTTATCTGAGAGAGCAAATAAAAACTACACTAAAATCAGAATTTGGAACAAACCCTGGGTACCAAAATAGTGCAAATCTCTCAAATTTCTGCTGGTTTGTGGTCTTCCATTTCTCTTTCAACTCTTTCTTCAAGAAATCATTTCAGTGTCAGCATCTGTTTTTACTACGTCATTCTATGAACCTACAACGACGACATCAAGCTCTGCTTCAGTGTCTATCCCTTTTTCTCCAGAACTCCTCTGCACCGGAAAATAAACTTCAGTCTGTTTGCTTTCTGGGCCTTTCTCAAGGAAGTAATGCAGCATTATTAGGACAGCATCAAAGTGATTGGTTTTGATCAGTCAGGTGTCAAGAAAGCGGAGGGATTAGGTTCATTATAAATCACTAACTCACCTGTCATGTACTAAACGTGTCTTACTGCTGTACTTTTTATTAATTTATGCTCCATATTAAAACAGACTGTTGTGACAGTGTAGTTTTAAAATGCTTTGGATATTGAGGCAACTCCTGTTCTGCCAAACCAGATTTTTTTTCTGGCTTGAGTGTTAAATGACCTTAAAAACACAGTAACGCTTTGTGGTGTTTCACTGAGTGAAGGGGATTGTCTCCTGCAGTATCGATGCTCGTTTCGGGAGCAGTCGTTAATACGATGATAGTTCTTCTAAGTCCAGGACTGGTGAGTTACTGTGAGGTCAGCTAGCGTCAGTCCTGCGTTCCGTGGGTAGTTTGTTGCCATTTAAACTCTGACTTGTGGTGAGCAATGTTCCTGTTCAGCAATATAGTGACAGGCGGACTTCTCTGGATTTTGAGTGTTTGTTTTGAGGCCCGTTCCCCATCCCTGTCAGGTAAGGGTGGGAGAGAGTATGAGCACGAAAAGATTGGCGCTCAATGGAAATGTCAAGTACAGTTCCGTTATTTTACGACTGCTGTTCCCTTTGGACGTGGCAGGGGATGTTGCTCAAATGGCTCTAGTGGGTGCATGCGGCAGTTGGGAACACAGGGAAGAGCTGTCTGCTGTTCATGGGGGAAGGAAGTCACAGAAAAATAAAGCTGAAAAAACAGTTACAACTGCATTATTGTGACAAGTGTTAGGAAGAAATGTTCCCTGATGGCAATTCCTCCTTTACCCAATCCCTTTTCGATGAACTTGTCTGTGAAACTTGGTTTCTTCCTTAGCCATAGGAGAGCATTTCGACAGGATGCCAGTGACATGGGAAATAATTTGTAGTGCGTTTTGGTCTCTATTCAAGTTGATTTTGTTTACAAATACGATTTTCTGGTGTTTGTTCACGGTCATTGAACTACTAAATCTTGGCATATTGCTGTAGCTTATTCACGCTCTGCTTTTGAAAAGACCCTAGGTTTATGGGATGTATTTAAATGCAGTTAAGGCTCTTTTCTTACTGGGGAATTTTGCTTACATTTTGATTTTTAAAAATTAACCATCTTAGTCTCTGACGGTATTTATACTTCTTTTGACAGTAATCCAGTCCCTCATAGCACTGGTGAATGATCCACAGCCCGAGCATCCCCTTCGGGCTGACCTAGCTGAAGAATACTCTAAGGACCGTAAAAAATTCTGTAAGAACGCTGAAGAGTTTACAAAGAAATATGGTGAAAAGCGACCAGTGGACTAAAATCTGACACAATTGATGTCAGCAACATATGATAGAAGATCGGAGCAGTGCATTTGAGACACCCCGTAAAGCAGGACTCTCTGGAAAATTGACAAGTGCCACCTTTCGGTGTTAACTTGTGGCTGTTACTAACTTTCTACAGTTTTCTTAATCAAAAGTGGGCTAGGTAACCTGTAAAGAAAGGATTAAAATTTAAGATGTTCTAGTTCTGCTTTCTTTGTTTAAAAATCACTGCTTCAATATACTTTAAAGTATGCTGTTTTCTTTTTCTTGTCAGAATTTATCAAAAATATCTTAGACTTATATTCTGCCCTTAAATTGAAAAGGTTGTGGCTGTCATTTCTTATTTTTCCTCACAGTTCCCACTATCTTGAGTTCATTTAATTCTTCATTGAATTTTATCCCACTCCCTACGCCCATGTCTTAGAAAAAGTATCCCAGTTCTGGCAGAAAATGATTGAGTGTTTGGCAGTTTTGTTTACTTTTCTTTTTAAATGTTGCACTGTGCTTTGTGGGACTTGTCGCAAGTTCCCCTTAACTTCAGTTTGTAACATAATAAACAAAAAACGAACCAACCCCACAAAACCAATTAGAAATAATGTCCAGGTCTTATGTAAATCTGGCTGATGTTACCACAAAATGTTTATTAAACGGGGAAACCCAAGTTTTTGTGTGCGTCATTGAATTACAATACGGCTTATGTCCTGCTTTTGGAAAACTTTGGAAAAAAAATTCCGTAGCAAAGGAGTAGTGGAATGTGATTACAAACTTCTTTCACTTCTGTTCGTAATAGCTGTGCAGAGTAGCCAGGGGAAACGTGCACAGAACGACATGGCAGCCAGTTTGGAAGAGTTCCAGAAATTGGGGACCAAGAGGTACCAAAGTGAGAAATTGCTTTGAGTTGAAAATCAGGATTTTGGAAATGTTAATTTTGAATTCCAAGTACTAAATCTGACAGCACTGCTAGAACATTTTTCCATTAGAATGTGTAAGAAACATCTGTGTTTCATGGGATGGCACTCATGCCACTTCCCAGCCCAACTGCTGTACAGTCCTTACCGAAAATGGTATGAGAAGAGGATTAAGCAATAACCTGTAATAGAGTATGCTTCGCTGCTACTGTTCCTGCGCTCTAAAACCACACAGGTTAGATGATGTAATGAGTACTTCAAGTATCATTCTGTCATTCTAACTCAATCAGGCAGAGCTGTTTTCCCGTTGCTCGGGGGCACGCCTACGCATGCTGCAGGAGGGCCTTGCTGTTCAGAATTGAGCATCCTTTACCGCGTCTCCGCTTTTCTCCTGACTGCCTGTCTTTTTTCCCCAGTCTTAAAGTGTGATCATAGCTCCACGGCCAAACTGCCATACAGTCAAACTGCCGGCTCTTCCCCGCCTGTCGAACTTGGGTATGTAACTGAGCAAACAGATGTCTCTCCAGAAGTCCCTAGCTGTCTGGGAGTACGTACCAGTCTGATGTGCAGGAAGCTGAATTAGAAAATCCCTCACGCCCAGATGGTTGTCTGGACTCCTAAATTCAGTTTTAACGCAGCCTCTGCCTTTGCAGCCTTTCAGAGCTAGTGTGGCAAGCGGTAGGTCTCTTTTTTGGTTTTAATGTCTTGTATATTTGCTATTTCTTCATTCATCCCTCTCATCCAGCTTTCATTTCCAATTTAGTGTGAACAATGACAGCCCAGTACCTCACCTCTGTTGAAAGTAAATTTTTTTATAAGTTAGGGAGCTAAGAAATTTTATGTTTAAGTGTTCTTAGACAGATTCTTTGGCAGGTAAATAAAGTTAAACCACATTCACCTTATTTACGGAAACTTGCATTTCCTAAGTGTTTTCAGGCTTGTGAGAGCACTGTCTATTACCAAATTTTCACATCTTTGTGTCTTCATTTGCAGAAAGTTGGTACTGATTTTGTTTCCTTCACGCTCACTCGGATTCATAATAAAATAATGCCAAATTATCTGTCAAACTGAAGTGTGTATAACTTCCGCATCACGTGAGTCGCTGTACCTTTTGATCATGTCTGTTGGCATGGAAACTTGCCATTCTCTAAATTTTAGTTGAAACTGTAGCACTAGTTTGCTGCCCTCGTCACTACGACACAGTACGCTTTCTGGTTGTAAGCCTCTCAGGTCAAAGACTGCGTTTGTGCGAATCGGTGTCACTTGGGTGCCGTTGGAAGGGAACTGGAAGGGCTGTGTAATTCAAGGAACTCCAGTCGATTCACCCAGGCCCGCAGCAGCGCTGTGCCAGCTACCCCGATTTCACCTGTACAGGTCACACAGAAGACAGACGTTGCTATCAGTTCTCTTTGTGTGGTGTTCACAGTGCAATTTCTAAACTACGAGGTGTGTAACCTAAGCGATGGCTTCTGTTCACAGGCAGCCCTCTGAAAAAGACAAGAGATCAAATACTGTACTGTACGGTTGAAGTCTGAGGAGACAAAAAAATCAAAGTACGAAGTCCTATGTTAACTCAGGAAATCAAGCTCTTCTTCTCTCTGGTTCCCTAAGCCATGCTGAATTCTAAGAGTGCAGTTTAATATCCAAAATAAAAACAATGTGCTGGTGAAACTACACCCAGGAGTACTGGTATAGGCTTTCTGCAATTCCATTCTGCTACCCTAATAAAAATTGCTCTCAAAGGCTTTGTGGCATGGTTTTATTTTCAGAGACATTTGGGGTTTAGACTTTTTTTCTAAGTGTCCTGGTACGATGGTATTCATAGGCAGTGCTCTGAACGTGGTGTTAATTTGAATGTGGTCTTGTCTTTAAAGCTTTGATAGAACCACTGGGAAACTTCCTTCCTTATCTCCCTATGTTTTATGCAATTGAAAGGTTCCTTATTTAGAAGTCTTTTGGTAGTTCCTTATTTCTCCATTTAAAACCCCTTTGAATTTAAAAGAAAATTTGGGGTTTGATGCTGTTTGATTAAAAATAGGGAATTTGCAAAATACCTATTTTTTGTTTGTAACATAGCACTAACTCGGGTAAGCCTGCTGTCGTGTTCGCAGTGTTCAGCTAGCGGAGAACGCATACAGCGGTCAGCAGGCGTGCAACGTCCCGAGGGCCGCGGTCAGAGCAAATCAGTGGGTGAGAATACGGAGCAATTTAACTGTTAAAAATAAGGTTTAAAAATATCCATCAAAATACGGTCACGTTACATAAAGAGCTGAGGTCTGGTATTAAATAACGGGTGTTGCAGTCGGGTTGTCCCTGCATGTGAATAAAATAGCATCGGTCACTAGGTGGCATCTGGGGTCTAACTGTGCTCTGGAACTGCAGCAGCTTCCTGCAGCTCTGCTATCTCCCGTGTTTTTTATTCTCCTGCCCTCGTAGCAGGAACTTTGCCGTCAAACACCGCTGGGACAAGCTTCAGAAATGGAGTCATTCCCGAGGGTAACTGCTGCTCGTGTCCGCCTTGGCTGCTTGCTCCAGCACTTGCACACGGTACAGTGGATGGGGTTTGTTTTTTTTTTTTCTAAAAAACAAACTTGTCATACATCAAATTAATTGTGACAATAATTTAGGAAAGAACCTGGAAAAGATATTTTGTAAAGCATTCTTGGTGGTGTTTTTCATATTTGTACAGAACAAAGACTTCCTCAGGGGTTTTATAGGGAAGGTAAGGCGGTTCCTGTTAGAACAGGCTCTCCCCTCGGTCCGGCGCAGTGAGAGCAGTAGGTGAGTGGGGTCAGCGTGCTCCCCAGCTGTAACTAAAACCAAAAGCCCCCTAAAGCATTACAGTAGAAAAAGGCCTGAGTTTATTTTTTTGCTTAAAAGAGCAATTATCATATCGACATTTTTAATATTAAAAAAAAGAGTTAACCAGAAATGATTACATTAAATAGATCACTTTTGTGCAGAAAAGGGGCATAAACAATCTAGAACATTTTTCCCATGTGGATGTTAGACGGCGAGTGACAGGGCGACCGTTAAGAACCCAGTTAAATGTATCAGTATTGCTGGGGCTTGTTGAAGCTTTGATGACAGGAATAAAACCAGACCGATACCAAGGACCTGCTCTGCGTGGAAGCTTGCTCGTAGTCAGTGCGCCGCCATCCCACGTGGTTGTCGTCAGCGGCAGTGGGCAGCGCAGGAACAGTTGCTGGTGAGCGCTCGTATGCAGCAGTTACTGAAACAGCAGATGGGTCAACAGTTGCTGTTCTTGCAAAGTCATTAAAAAAAAGAACCCCACCCTCTCTGAAGGGGCTGTGGCTGATGTTCCTTTCCTATGGTGGCTCAATGCCAAGAGACAATGTAAGTAGGAAGAGCCATAGTTCCCACTGGCTGAGGCTGTGCGTGGAGCGTGGCTGCAGGCACCACCATGCTGAGCCCGTGAGCCGGCTGCTCTGACCCAAGAAACGCTGTGACGTAACATGCCCTGTGCCCCTCGCCATTGATGGGCAGGCACGAGGGGAGGGGAAGGGACCATGGGTGCTTTAAGAAAATCAAACACTGAAGGTTTCTGGGCGTCCTGTGAGCAATCTATGCCGAGCAGTTGCCCCAAAGCACCACTTGCTCCCCAGCATCTTTCTTTTTTAAGTCCAAAAAGAGAAGTGATCAGAACCCCCAGGGTGCTAAGTGTGCAGCTTAGTCTCACAGCAGAGGCTTCGTGTTGCTCGCCATTGCAGTGGCAGGAACTGAGCCCTGGGAGGAAGGCCGGGCCTCGGCTGCCACGCTGTGCCGGAGTGGTGTGCGAGTGGGTGACACACAAGGTCGCATTCAAAGCAGATGCTGTGGCCTAAAAACTGCCAGGTAGGGTGCTGCCTGCAGCTGCTCACCGGGTGTTGTTCTTCTGTGACCATCCTAATGCTGTTCCCAGCTCCTGCCAGCTGAACCAGGAGGTGTTACACTGGTAACAGTGGTCTGGCTCCTTGGGACATTTGCAACCGCCTGTCTTCAGAGCATGAATCGCTGTAGGTATGTATGCTTGTTTACTTACAGATCTTTGAATGAACAAAGCTGAATGTTCCTGGTTTTGTAATGGCTCTGCAGCTCTGGCTTAATTAATGTCTGGAGTTCGTGGAGGCGCTCCCAGGACTGTGAGAAATCATCTGGTCCTTCCCCACAGCCGCCGAGGGGTGGGACGCTCGGGTACCCTGGATGGACCATCAGTTCAATCGTTACCGTCCTGCTCTGTGGCGCCAGGTGCGTGGGCAAGGGCGCCTTGGATGTGAACTCCACGATGGCAGTGTCGATGGCACTCCAGATGTTACTGACAGACATGTTCTTTCCCATGGTACTCAAACCTATGTAAATGTCTGGCCACCTGTAGCCCGAGGAGGGAACACCAATATTAATGCTAACGAGGCAGCTAGAAAAAAGTGCGTTACATCCAATGGATTAGAAGCAAAACGTACCTAAAACTTAAGGTAGAAAGGCGAGGAGGGAGTGTTTTAAAACTCTTAGCTATAAACAAAAGTAAAACCAGAACTACAAGCCAGTAACGCTTTTTCTTTCCTTATCGAAACCAGGATACATTTAAAGCAGCAGTTCTGCAGCCTGACAGGAAGTCCCAGCAGAGCCCCAGTACCAGTACTGCTATTATTGCTGTATTTACGTGTACTGTGTCACAGCACGAGCGTTGGTTGGCATCTGTGAGCTTACAGGTGCATTTTGTTGGCACAAAAGGGAAGAGCAGAGCTAAACTGAGAAATACCACGCTATTAAAATAACTTACTATTGCTAGGCCAATTAAAACCTGAATAATCACCTCTCAATAATAGCCCTCGGCTAAGTGGAAACAAAAAAAAAGACTGAAATAAAATGGAAACCACCCTGCTAACAAATTTTGCTGGGATGTATCAAAGAGCCATCATAAAAGACAAAAACACTGGCCAAAACACCATTACTCCTGAAGACCATACAGCCAAGAGGACACCTGCTAGGGACTGTTTCTTATGTAGCTTCAACACAATTCTTTGTTCAAGTCAACCTCAGTTCTCCCAGAGTGGCACGCACAAGCCCAGGAGGGGCAGAATGAGACAGTTTTTGGAAGAAACCAAGGCTGGGGTTGTTACCTGCTTGATCAAGGAAGAGCCCAGCTGAACACTCAGCTCTGAGAAGAGTTTGCAGGACTTAGGAAAAAAAAAAAATTAACTTTTTTTAACTGCAAACTGAGTAAACTTGCCAACACCTCGTCGCTATGCAGCAAGCACAGTCTCACACTCTCCAGCGTTATAAACTGAACTCCAGGGGCTCAGTGCAGTACCTCTTTGCACAGATGCCGAAATTAGGTTGCAGTATTGGGTTCCCCATGACTTCAGCTGACTGCACTCTTCTCATTTTCCCAGGTTTCCTCGCGTTAAGCGTTTCTTATTTTAAGAGTCCGTCCCTCCTCGCCTCCCCCGGCGCCGGGAGCAGAGGCGGCCACAGCTGCGGGCGCGGTGGGGCTATAAAGGTGCAGGTCCCGGGCAGCCCCAGCAGCTCCCCGGGGAGGTGATCGCCGGAGCAGCGGCTTCTCAGAGGGAGAGCGACACCACCCCTGCCCCTTCGGTAGCGCGGGGAGCCCCGGAGCGTGCGGGTTCCCGCTAAACTCCCCTGCGCCGTCCCTGCCCTAAAGAGGGGTTACTCTCCCCTGATGAACTGTGTGTGAGTTGCTGTGCCCTTCTCTCAGAAATGCACTGTTTGAGTACAATCTGTGTGCTCTGGGGGGAAAGAGGACAGTGAAATGCCGGCCTGCTGCTGGTGTTCAGAACAACTGAGGTTAAAAAAAAATTCTAAGAAAATAATTTCTTCAGTAGACTGAGAAAGTAATGGAATCTGCCCAAAGGACAGGTGACTGCAAGGGTCTTAAATGAAATGTGTTTCATCTATAAGATGCTACCTGATTTAAGCTTTTCTAAAAAGTATGTTATTGGGGGGAGGGCTGAGCTTTTGGGGTTTGGCCCCTGAGATGCAGGACATGGACAAGACTCTGCTTAGAGCAGGGATTGCTGCCATGGCAGTGCAAGCTCTCTGAGCTTCTTGCCTCCCTTTAACAACAAACACTTGTTTCTAATTATAGTTTCTTTCCTGCTACTTAAAACCCTTTCTCCACTATTCCAGGGAGATGAAAAGTTATTTTTTGAAAGGCTTCTCTAGATCTTTTAAAATTCCAGTGTTGATACAGTACTACAGCCTCCTGCAGCCCCAGATGCCTGCTAAATCCCTAATGCTCCTTCACTAGAAAGGCTGAGAAACACACCTTGAAAAGAGCAATCCCTTTCAGGTGGGAAGCGACTCAGCTCTGTTCACACAAATCTGCTTACTGAGCCCTGGTGCCCCCAGCACTTTTCTGTTCCTCCTGAACCTTCTTGTAAGCCCCAAGGTGGAAGGAGAAAGGTGGTGTTCCATTCTGAAAAGATGCTATTAGGAACTGGTAAGATCTTAAAGCTTTACTACAAAAAGGATGAGTAACGCCTGTCTTACCTTATTCCATGCCTTGTAAACACATCCACTGTGTTGAAAGAATCTTCTTCTACTCCCAGATAAAAATCCATCAGGGATGGTGGAATCCAGTCACAGTTATGAAGGCCTGGCTCTATTGGGACACGTGTGTACTTAATCCCATATTCCTCTAACACCTCTGCAAATACGTGCCTGACCTCTGTAAGTAAAAACAGAGACACTTTAGTCAGGAATTAGGTAACCAACTCATCACGTCCCCTGAAAGCTGTTAGCACAGCGAGATCTTTCCTTTCTGTGTTTAAGAAAATATAATCCCATTTGGCTTCTTTTCTGCTGAAATGGTTTTCTTCATCTGGGTGGGAGTCTCTCTTCTATACTGGAAACATTACTCCCTCAACATCTGCTATAGGTGCCTTGTCTCCCCTTCAGTGCTGAGCATTTAGTCCAGCAACCCCTTCTAAGTTAGTGGCTCTGCTCCTAGAGTGCACCAGAGGCAACTGCACTGTCAAGAACAAGTTCTTCAAGTCCCAGCACATCCAGATTTGTTGTGAAGGTAAATTGTCAAGAGCAATGTCATCCAGAGGCAGCTAAGTGTTGGAGTGGGGAAATATGGATTTTTTTTATTTTTTTTTTTCTCGCTCGGTTTCCCATCTCGGTATCGCAATGCCCTTATTTGCAAAACAGGGACAAAGATACTTGCCCACCTCTGTAAAGTGTGGTGAGACCTGCAGACAGAGATTGGTGTGGAAATGTCACTGATGGGATGGAGTTCTCCCAGCACCTGAGCTAGCAGCTTTCCCAAACTCTGGCATTCCAGTTTAAACCAGCCAGTCTGCTGCTGGCCCTGGCCTGCCTCCTACAATGTGGGTGGGAGCATGGAATTAGGATGTTGAGGTGAATTATCAGTCCTTGGAGTAAAAGGTGTAACCTGGGCGATTTGTGCCATTAATCCCCTTGCACTGCTATGGGAAGACCCAGGTCCCCAGGCAGCCAGTTTGGGCCGGGGCAGGACTGTCTCCCCAGGGCCCAGGTGGGAACATGCAAACTGCAATTGTAGAGCAAGTATCTTACAGTGAGGTTTATTGCCCAAGCAGGGAGCTGTGGCCAGGGAAGCCCCCTCTGAGCTGCCTCTCCGATGCTCTCACCTGCTCGGTGCTAGGAAGAAGAGGATTCCCTTCTTACCTGGGAGGACGTGGATGTGCTGGTGCCCATCCATGTGAGGAGGTAGGTGACCTGTCAGCTCACGGAACAGCTCCACCTGAGCCTTCAGCTCCTGCTTCACCTGCATAACAGAGAAGGGTCAGAGCAAGACCTGTCAGCAGGCTGATACCAGGAGAGCACAAGGGGGCTGCTGGAGACCTTGCTGGCCCTGGGAGGCACAAAGTGCTGTGATGTATAAATGCACATGCAATGCTGGTGGGTTTCCCAGAACCTCCCCTAGGCATGGGTCTCTTTATGGTACTAGTTATGTGGGTGGTGCCGATACTGGGATTTTCTAAAATACATAGGATATCTGAATACCCATTTTCCTTTAAAGTGGATGGGGAAATGGGTGTTCATATCCCATAGGCAGTTTTGATCACCTGAACACATTCATCCTTGCTCATGGGGAAAAACAAGCTATCTCCCTAGAGAACAAAAGCCTCTCACAAGGTGATGAAAAGCCTACTGCCTACTTAGCACTTTTCTGGTATTTTCCCTTTACTGATCTCTAGGTTCTTTGTAAATACCTGTTCCAATGCCTCTTTTACCCCTCAGATTAGTTAACAGGACATTAGTGTATGCAGGCACTGAAGCAGGGAGGAATGTGTTCTCAAAGGCTGCAGAGCCTTTGGCAGAATTAGGCCCAAAACTCCGAAAGCCAGCTCCAGCTGCCCAGGCAGCACAGTCAAGATTCATCTCTAAGCTTACTCACAGCTGGGACCTGGGAAAGATCTTCAGCTGTTACATGCTGGGATAAGTGCAGGCTGATCTGTATCGGGAAAGCAAATTTCATGGTTGCATGTGACTTTCTCCTACCTCTGACATACGCAGGAGACCTTTTGATAGAGCTGTTCTGAATCCCATTTTCCCATGGAAGAATCCATCTTGGTTGAGCAGAGAAGAGTTTGTCTTGAGTACCTCGCATACAGGAGAGCCCTCGGAGAGGTTGGCATGCAGGCCTATTGGGATGTTATATCTGTAACAGGAATGAAATATCTGTTAAGCTTTGCACTTCTACCTCCTTTACTGCGGCCAAAGGGGGATATTTCAGTGAAAGATCTATACTGATCTAAAAAGTGGTGGTGTGCTCACTGGAGTATGTCTACATATCTCTGCTCTTCTAGAAAGTAAAGTGGAACAACACTAACCAGAGCAGAATATCTCCAGGTAATAATCCTGTGCAGTCTGCCAAGGGCCAGTCTGTGAGACTCCCACAACTCTGTTCTCACCCTGACTCCTGTGGAGAGAGCAGCCAAGGGGTATCTCGGGCTAGATGCTATAACTGCATTAAAATCCTATAACTGCACTAAATGCTATAACTGCATGCTACTAGTGACTGCCCTGCAGTCACTACTGACTAACAGAGAAATCTGGACCTTGCAACCCTTTTCTAAAGCACTTCATTAGCCCTTGCTAGGTATTCCCTTGAGTTGTTTACCCTTTTAAAGATACTACATGATGAGACATTTGAGTTTTACTTTGACAACTTCTAAAGCTGCTCTTAATTAGAATCCAGTTGTATATAAACAGTGCCCAAGGCAGCTGTTATGGCAACAGCATAGACTACAAGTGTAAATAGTGTCTGAATTTTAAGGGTTTCCTGGTCCAAGAGGCTGCAACTGAAATAGCCCACAGTGGCCAGGTTTCGATCTACTGGTGCAGGTGATCACTCACTGAGTGACAAGGCTAAGCTGTACAAAGTAGCATCTCTCTGGAACAGATGGATTACTGCAGGGAGGTTGACAGTGTAAGCGTAGAGCTTTGCTAAAGAATCACAAGGGCACAATTTCTTAAGTAGTTGCACTCTGCAACATTAAAAAAAAAGACAAAAGAGGAGAATGAACTATGGAGAGCTAGTGTATTTGCAGCACTCCTCTCAGCCCTGGGGCTTTGCAGAGTGCTGGTGTTTCCTTCTTGGTCTGTGCAATAAAAACAGGATCTGTGAGTGCTCAGATTTGTCCTAAGTTTCATTAGTGTTTCTGGAAATCCTCAGAATCAGTGGCCAAAATGATTCTTTGAAACTTTTTCCAAGACAGCCCCTGGCCTCTGGCTGACCCAGTAAGTAAATGACAGAACTGCAATGTTCTTTCTGTGCTACCCAATCTGAGTCATGGTGCAGAGTTAATTTCAAGGCAACAAGTCTGTGATGCTTTAAATCCTTCCTGGAACTTCTGCATGGAGCTGCTAAAACCGGGCATGGTCTGTCCCTGTTACAGCCCTTGTACCACAATGAGGAAAACAAAAGCAATCTCCATTTAGGCAAAGTATGCAAAACCAGAGCTTCCTCTTCTGTCTGCTGCCCCGAAGCTGACTAGTGAAGCACCAAGTTACTGGAGACAGAAGGATTGTGGATGGATTGGACCAAGTCAGAGTAATTTAGCTCCTTCAGGTCCTAAGGCTTTAGCCCTTGCAGGACTGAGAGTCTTTTTTTCCTGGCTCTTCGATGTCTTGTGCTCCAGGTGAATGGTGTAGTCTGTTGCTAGATAGTGCTCCTTCTTAAAGACCTAAATGTTTTGAGTCAAGTTGTATGGATAGCTCTGTGAAACAAAATGAGTCCATGTCTTTCCAGTCCACTGGGAGCTTGAATGTTTGCTTAATGGAGCAAAACAGCCTCTGGAAAGAAAGGTCCTCTCTGGCTTTTCTGATTTGGTGATTTCTCTGCAGCAGGGCCAGATTGTGCAATTGATGATAAATGTTCATCTGGTTTTCATACATGGGGCCTGAGAACATGATGTGCACACTAACTCCTTGCTAATACAAGAACTGGAAGATGCTGTCATTGGGAGTGGGGACCCTCAAGCAGGCAGCTGATGGCAGGGCAGGAGGCAGCTACAGTGCAGAAGGGGTGCTGTGGCAGGAAGGCTTCCCCTCCATTCTGTGACCTGCTGTGTACCCTGCATGAGCCCAAAGGCAGTGGGGGAGCCTGTGGTTTTGTTTTGGTGTTTTTTTAGAAGTCCACCCCAGATTCTTTATCATGTCTCTGGGAAGCTCTGACTGCATCAGCTGACAGCATTCTTTGTACCATAGCCACTGCTGTCTGCAAGAAAAAGGATTCACGTGTTACCATGAATCAGCAGATGGAAGACTTTTTTTGTTGAGCACTCTCCTTCTCATGTGTTGTGGGAGGGCAAGAAATGAACAGCTGAGCCTCTCAGTGTTGTCTCCCAGGAGCATCGAATGAACTACCTCCAATTGTGCAATGCCTCAAATGCTGCAAGAGAAGCTATTTCCAGGAAAAGGCGAGCCCCTCCGACAGGTGTGGGACACCAAGGAGCCAAGCACTGCACTGCGTAACATTAGAGCCGCGCCTCCGCCTGAGCTGAAACCAGCCCCAGAGCTGTGGAATGTGCAGAATGTGGAAGTGCAGAGAGAGCTGGCCTTGTTCTCTGTTGTAAGGGGAGACCCTGACTGTAACATTAGTGCATGTTTCAGAGCTTTGGCTAACACCAGCTGAATATCTTAATAGTTTTCTCTTAGAGTTAGTCGTGGCTGGTTTGACAGACTGTCCATGCTGAGGCACTTAAAGAGGAACTGCTAGTGTTTAATGGCTCCAGGATACAGGGACTGAAACCAAAACTCAAAATGCAGCACGTGAGATGCTTGTTCAGAAATATTCATCTGTGGGAGATGCACAGAAGCAGGCATGCTGGGAAAGCTGTAAGGATATGGTAAGGAAGACAAAGCAGGAGGCACACCAGGGTTCTGCTGCTAGCTAGCATTTTCCTGTACCTAGGTATGTGCATTTCCTCTGGATGCAACGAGCCAGATGATGCTCCTATTCAGCACCAAGTGTCCTGCTGCCCAGTGTTCATTCCTAACAGTCCTGAGACTGCATGAGCACCTGAAGTCTTAAATGCAATGAGATGAAAACATGAGCAAAACTTAAAGCATTATAGTAACTAGCTGGGCTGTACCTTGGGAGACAGGGCTCCAATCATTCTCTGTCCTGACCAGAGGCTTGGGATTTAAGACTGAACCAACAGGCTTTTTTCCTCACTGACTACTATACCCACTGGACTAACTCTTGCTCCTGAGTGCCTCTCTCCACTGAAATGTAGCTTCTGCAACCAAACAGCAATGACAAGGCATGCTGTATTGCAGAAAAAAAAAAAGGCAGGGAGAAAAGTCAAGTTATGGGAATATCCTGGATGGGTTCTTCTTTCAGAGGGCAGATGACTGTTTCTGCAACACAAACATACTTATAGTTGCCCACATCTTTCCAAAGACAGTAAAGTATCTGCTATTTTATTGGCTGAAATACTGAAGCAGAGACCAGCAGCTCAAGCAGCTTATATAGCATGTGATGCCACACTGAGAACAGAGCTCAGCTGTTGTGGCTTTAGCCTCATACCCGTTCCTCTGCCTAAGTCCTTTATAGATGGGACAGGGTGAGCCCTGCTGGTCATTGCCAGTCAAGTCTAACCACAAATTGCTCCACCCAAGATTCAAAATAAAAGGATTGGCATTGAGCTTCAAGCAACAATTTATTTTCTGCAATAAAAGCACTGCAGTAACAGCTACTGTTGCCAAAACAAAGCGATACTGAGGAATCTGCTTGCTGTCTCTACGCTAATTTTGGTGGGGTTTTTTAAGCAGCAATGACCCTTCTACAATCTGTTTGGAGAGGCCTACATCTAGGTGTTTGCAAGTCTGTCCTGCTGCCCTAGAGAATGCACTGACATGAAGCAGATTTAGCACAAGGGTCCAGTTCACTCCTGACAAAGCTGAAGGACAGTGTCTACCAAGCATGTGCTCCTATAGCATAAGGAGCATTAGACTGGGCTGTCTGTGAGCTTGTTGAGAAGAGGTTCAGGCCAGTAGCTTCTGCAGCCACTAAGGTTAGTTCATTAGTGATCAGCTCCCACTCAGAGAAAGTTGGCTGTTAAAACCAGCCTGGCTGTGTGGTTCTCTGCTCAGCATCTGCTGGGGCGGGAGGGAGATACCCTTACAACCAATGCTACAAGGGGCAATAAGGAATTTAGTCTGGAAAGATTAGAGGCAACAAGCCCAGACCAGTTATCCGATAGAGGGAGGAAATACAATCAGCTAAACTGCTTCTTTTTCAAGTAGTTGCTTGTTTTGCCACAGGAGTGCTCTGAACAAATGTCTCTGCCTTGGCAATGGGCTTTTGTGCAGTTGCAATCCCTGTTCATTCATATCCTTAGCAGTAAAGGGTCCCTGGAGACTGTCACTATACTGAGTCACTCTCTTTAAAGTGCCCACCAGCTTTGTGCATTTCTGAGCTTGGTGGGTGGATCAGTAACAGTGTCCTGGGTCCTGCCTGGCCACGGCACGGACTCTGTGCAGTCCCTAGGTTCCTGGGAGCAGTTGAAGTGGTTGTGAGAATTATGTGATTCCTCGAGCCCAGTCCCAATTGTCTTGCTGAAGGCTGCATGCTCTGGCATAAGCATGGGACTTACCCTTTTCCTTGATGGGTAAACAGATACCAGCTTCAGCATCGTGTTTGCATCCTTACCCAGGAAATTACTGGCTCATCAGGTTTCAGCCCAAGTGTGACGCAATTAAGAGCCTCATGTAAATATCTGTATCTAGACATCCTGCTTCAGTAAACATCCAAGTGTCTGAAGCCAGACAAAGCAAGGCTGTGTTTTGTGTGAAAAAGTGCACCTCTTGGTTTCTCCATGTTAGCATTTTCATACTTTTTTCTTTTCCTCACTTTTGCTGTTCAGCAAACTGTAAGATCTAATTGTCTTTCATCAAACAGCATCTTGTCTTGCTCCATGACTGCTAAGGACTTATTCCTG